AGCAGCAGCAGCAGCAGCGGGGGGGGGAGGCAGGGGCTGCTCGGGGGGACCCCCGGCCAGGGTGGGGTGCAAGGCACACCCCGGGTCCCACCCCCTCACCCCGGGGCCTGGCTCCTCACCCCTGCTTTGAGTTTGGGGTTTTTGGTTCGGTTTGGTGTTTGTGTTTTTTGGTTTGTTTTTTTTTTTTGCTTTATGCAGCTCTGGTGCTCAAATCCCAAGTGCAGACGAGAGAAGGAGAGACAATCAGCCACCACGCCCCGAGCTGGCCAAGCCGTGGGGCTCCTCGTGTGCTCTGAGACAAGGGAAACGGCCCCAGGCACCCCAAACCTTCCCTCAGGGCTGGGACCTCGCCGGGGGCTGACCCCAAATCCCCCTCCCTTGGGGAGACCTCACAGACCTCCCCCTGCCCTCGCCCTGCCTGCAGAGAGGTGCTGCTGCACCCACACCCCACTGCACCCCGGGAGGGCCGGAGGGACCCATTTCCGAGGTTTTTCTCCCCAGGAACGTGGTTTGGGTCACAGTGTCTGCCCCTGCCAGGCTTCCCCGTGCCACCCAGCCTGGCTCTCACCTGCTCTGGCTGCAGAGGAAGAAGAGTGCAGCCCGTGGGGGAGGTCCTGGAGGACCCCAGCCCACTGTCAGCTCTCGGGGGACTTTGGAAGGTCTTTGGAGCTTTCTGCAAGTGCCCAGAGTCCATCCCCCGAATGGCTGCATCCCCTGCTCCTTCCTCCTCCTGCTCCTCATCCTCTCCCTGGTCAAAGATGGGAGGAGAGCAGCAGGAAGGAGTCACAGCTCTGGAGGTCAGGGGGGTGATGGGGGCAGTGGTTCAGGTCACTTCCATTCCCAGAGCATCCACCTGAAAATTCCTCAACCCTCTCCAGCCTCTTCACCGCTCCATCCTTTCCCTCCATCACTAGGGGTGGATCCAAAGTCCAGCCCACTGTGAGGAAGGAGATCTCAGCATCTTCAGGCCCTGCCAAAGTGGCCCCCAAAAGCCAAGGGGGTGTTTTTCTGTCTCTTTTCCGATGCCGTGTCCCTGCAGCCTTTCCCTCGTGAGCAGCACCGAGAGGCTCAGTCCCAGATGTGGTGGGAGACGTGGACACGCTGACTGAGGCCGTGGGTTTTAGGAAGAGATGGTGTTGATTCCAGCAGCACCACTCACCTCCTGACCAGCCCTCCTGTCCTCTGGGAACCTTTGCATCCCCTCCGTGTCCCATTTCCTCCCGCAAGACCTTCTCGAGCACAAGAAGCTTTTGGTGCTTGGAGGCCAAGACCTCGATTCCAACTGCAAGAAGGTCTCACCAGGCTTGGATACAACCCACAGTCACAAGTCCAGGGACCTTACAGAGACCAGTTGGTTTCCATCCTGGGGAGTCATGGCTCAGGACACCCCAGAGAAGCCAAGATCTGAGCTCTCTCCCCTGTCCTGCCCCCACCAGACCCGGCCGTGCCTGCTGCCCACACCCACCAAAACGCCTTGAGGAGCAACTTGCAACGATACCAAAGATTTTTTTTCCCCTGCAGGTAATGACAATCTGAGTTCTGTCCTAAAGACAATTCTCTTGACCAGGGTTGCACCCAAAGGGCATTTTTGTGCTGTGGGGAGCAGGAGCAAACCCGGGGCCCGGGGACACCCCCGAGGGCGATGGAGGATGAGGAAGAGGAGGAGAGCTGGACTCTCCCACTGAGACCTGCTGGTTCAGCCTGGCCACTGTCTCCTACTTCAGCTGTGGAAGTTTTCAGGGATTTGGGTCATTTCATTACCTCTGACACCTCCCAGTCCACCCAGTTCTACCTCGGGTGGGAGTTTTCCATCGACGGCTTTCATGCTCTGAAGACCCACATCCAGCAGTGGGGCAGCTCTGCCCCATCCCACGGGGCAAGCAGGAGGAACAGGGGCTCTTGGGGATGCCCAGCTGGGTTTTAACCATTATTACTCCACTATGGCACATCCAGAGCTGAGCTTTTCCTGCCCTAACCACATCGACATACAGAGAAACAGCTTCACCCAAAAAAATCACCACTCGCCCCTTTTCCCGAACATCCGGGTGGGGAAGGCTCCTGGTTACCTCTCTCCCCAGCCCTCTTTGGGCACCACTGGGTTGTCCCCATCCCCAGCACACCCCCAGAACCGAGTCAGCTCCTTTCCCTTGTCTCAGAGGACGCCCGGAGACGGGGTTGGACCCGCGGGCGCTGCCACGTGGAATCCGGTTCCTCTCGTGTCTTTCTTTGGGGTGTTTTCAAAGAGAGGAAATGAAAAATGCAAAGAACAGATATTGGGGTTTAGTGTGGGGTTTTTTGTTAGTGTGGGGGTTTTTTGTTTGGTTGGTTTTGTGTTCATTTTTGTTTGTTTTTTTCCCCCTTCACTCTTTAAAGGAAAGGAAGAGCTCAGACAGAATTAACCCCGGCCAGGGAGAACCCACAGCCTCGGGTCTGCCAGCCCAGCCCCCCTCCAGAAAACGTTGCTCATTTTTCTGTATAGCAATAGGTGATACTTGCCCTCACCCCACACGGTCTGAGGGCCACACATCTCTGAGTTTTTCAATGACTTTTTCCTTCTAATTCAATTAATTTAATTTTTTAATTTTTTTTTTTTTTTTTTGCTGCTGCTGCTGCTTCGTTTTTACTCTCATGGGATGGGTTTTACTCTACAGCAAAATGCAATTGTTACTCCTCTGTGTCTTGCAACTATATTTGTTTAAGCTATTTACAAAGGTTAAAAAAGAAAAAAAAAATAAAATAAAAAAGAGTCTTATGTGTCAGGCACTTTATCCAAACTGTGCTCTGTGCTCTGGAGTTTGTTCCTCGTTCTTTGCAATGACTCATGCAGGGGAAGTTATCAGGAAATTTAACTCCAGCCTGTCAACAGGTTTTAAAAGAGAGAAAAAAAATTAATCTCTATTTGTTCATCCTCTACTGGTCATGACTGTGTTGTGTATTTCTGCAGCTTTCTGTTTCTTCAATAAATTATTTTCTAGTCATTCACCCTGGCGTGTGTGTGTGTCCTACAGTGACAGGGGGGTCTCTTCCCTCCTGCTGCCCCATTTTAACCACCTCAGCTCCTCTCCCTAAACCTGCCCTGGCAGCACCAGGATGGAGGTTTGGGGATCGTGCCCAGGCAGCTGGGAAAAGTTTCTCCCCGTTTTCCGCCTCTTGGTTGCAGGGGTGAGAGCTTTCCTAGAGGAAAGACTTTTATTTCTTGGCACCGTCCAGACCCTTCTGGCCAGAGCCCAAGGAAAACACTTTAATTCTCACAAACTCAGTGCAGACGAGGCCAAAGCACTTGTTAAACAAACCCATCGAGTCATGTGTGCTGCAGGCAGGGCCAAGTCCCCGCGGCTGATTTAATTTGGTGTCATTTTACCCAAATGTCTTGTCCTCCTGTGCATTTTACCACGGCCCAAGCGCCGGTGACACACACACAGAGGGACCACAGGACCCTTCTGTGCAGCTTTTGCCCTTTGTGGCGTAGCAGAGATTTACAGGAGAGGAGAGAAAAGCTAAAATCCTTTATTTTAAAAAATAAGAACAATAAAAAGGGTGACCCAGTCACCAGTCAGTTGTTCACACACAACTTCTCCAGCAGAATGTGCAGGAATGTGCCCCGTGCCCGGCGGGCAGAGCTGACCCACGGCCCCTCAGTGCTTCAACCTCCCCCAGGAGTTCTTTTTGGGGCTTTGCAGAGGCCACAACCTGTGGCCACAAGTTGTCCCCAAAGGGGGAACGGTGTGGAGCTGGCACATAGTGCCCCTTGTGCAGGGATGGCAAAGGCAAGGAGGTGGGAAGGGTGGGAAGGGTGGGAATGGTGGGGAGGGACGAGGAGAGGCTGCAGGAGCCTGGTTTGGCTGCAGGAGGAAAACCTGCAGGGGATCCATCAACCACACGTGGATCCTCCTCCAGAAAACAGGAGGCATTTCAAAACCACACTGCTCCAGTCTGAGCAACCTGGGCTAGTGGGAGGAGTCCCTGCCCGAGGCAGGGGGTGGAGAGAGATGAGCTTTAAGATCCTCCAGCCCCAGCCACTCAGGGATTCTGGGATCGTGTGGTCTGTGGGGTTGATGCTCGTGAAAGCCACGTGGTAGAAACCAACCCTGCATGGGGAACACGAGACAAAGGTCTTTGTGCAGCCACTGCAGCTCAGCCCACGCTGGGGGTGGGGGTGAGCAGGGCGAGGGGCTGCACCCACCACCCACCAGGGCATTTAATTAATTCAGAGGTGGGATAACGACTCTGGGGCAGCCCCCTCGCTGTCTGTGGCCCCAGCCAGGGGCAGGATCAGCCTCAGCCAGGAGGAAGGCCCAGCTCTGGGGGGCTCAGCAGAGGGGAGGGGGCTGAGGTGCCAGCCAGGGGGTCACAGGGTGAGGGGACCAGCCTGGTGGCAGCAGTCAGTGGCTTTCACAGCTTTGGCAGCCTCCTGCCAAGCCCATGCACACACTGGGTGGGGGTGACCTCAGAGGTCCCTTCCAGCCCTAATGAAGTGATTCTGTGAGGTGGAGCCACTGCAGGACACAGCCCAGGGCTCAGCACCCCCCAGGCTGGGCCAGCCCCTCTGCAGCCACGGGGGCTGCAAACCCATCCAATGAGACTAAAAGGTGGCCCAGAAGAGGAGAGAAGCAGCCAGCTGTGTGCCTTTGACACTCCTCCCCTGCCCCAGCAGGGTGGGAGGTCGGTGCCAGCCAGGGCAGCTACACCGAGGGGCTGGGGGGGGGTGACATGGCCAGGGTCCCCTCTGGGATGGTGCTGCGGGTGGCCCTGGCCTTCAGGCTGTCCCCAGGGCTGGCCTTGGCTTGCAGGCTGTCCCCAGGGCTGGCCCTGACCCTCAGGCTGTCCCCCCTGGTGATGAGCCCAGCGTAGCCCTCCTGGTGGGAGAAGGCGTAGCTGGAGCGGCGGCAGAAGGAGCCCCGAGGGACGTGGGCCTTCAGCTCCACCGAGGGCTCCGGCTCCTTCTTGGCCTTCAAGTGGATCTTCTGCAAGGAGTGGGGGAGATCAGGGCTGAGGACACCTCCCAGGTGAGCCCTCACCCCGAGGGGGGACACGCAGGGAGCACAGGGGGCACCTCCACCAGGACACGGTTTGGCTCCCAGCTCCAGCACGACCTGATTTTGGGGATGGTGGGTGGGATGAGGAATGTGGGGACTCTCCCAGGGGTCTGCAGAGCTCGTGGAGCTCTGGAGCACAGTCTCAACCCCTGCATCCCTCTGGGACTCTTTGTAGCACCAGAAAGGTATAACCCAGGTGGGGATGAGCTCTACCAAGGCTGGGGTGGCACCAAGACCTCCAGCAGAGTCCAGAGCCTCGTGGGAGGTCCTGGAGGCCAGTTCCTTACTGCAGCCAAAAGCAGACCCTCTCCAAGAGTTGGGGCAGGTCTCTTTGCCCAGGGCCTCCTGCTGGGCCCTGGAATAATCTGGGAAGAGGCCCCTGGAGTCAGAGTCGGGCGCCAGTGTCATGGAAGACCACCACGACTGGTGCCAGCACGGAAAGGTGACATATCCCACCACTGCAATCCAGGCTTCCTGGGGGACCTCACCCTTCCCATCAGCAATCCCAGACACCAAGAGCAGTGGGAGGCAGCCCCCCCATGCCAGCCCCTCCCAGCCCTCACCTGCTGGGTGGTGGCTTTGCCCACGGTGGCACGGAACGCGTGGACGGTGAGTGAGGGGAGGGTGTTCACCACCAGGGACAGCAGGACCACCAGCAGGACATAGGGGTCAGTGAAGGCATTCCAGCTGGCATCTGTCAGCACGAGAATTTGGGGGGGATGTTTGAGTAGGGAAGGTGGAGAGGGCAGAGGGAACAACTGCTGGGGGACAGGAGCCCACCCGTGGAGGTGCTGAGGGCTCTGAAGAAGAAATGGCACCTAAAGTGGAGTCAAATATCAAGATGGCAAGACTGGGAAGTGGCAAAAAGGAGATGATCCACAGAGTGGGAAACAGGTCGTAGCACCAAGGCCAGGCTGGGCTCTCCTGGCTGGGGAAGGGCATCCCCAGGGCAGCTCACCTGGGAAGCAGAAAGGAGAAAAGGCAGAAGAACAGCAGGCTGGCTGTGACCATCAGGAAGGACAACACTGTCCAGAACTTGGTGTCCAGGACGATCTGGGGGGACAGGGGCAGAGCACGCAGTGTCTCACGGGGGCCGTGGTGGCCCTTTTGTCCCAGATTCCTCCTCCATCCCAAGGTGATCATCCCCCAGCCATGAAGCCACTGGGGAAGGTGTCAGAGCCCAGAGCTGCAGACCCTAAACATCTGCTGTGGGGACCCTAAACATCTGC